TCTTAATGTAAAGTCCCTTGGTATGGAAATACTCGGTATCATTTCACTATCCAAAAATTCGTTAAGTATTTTTATACTGGCTTTCTCATTGGGAAGTGCTGTGAAACTCTTGTAAGGTGCTTCAGGTTTGCTAATTTGGGGAAGAAACCAAGGAAGTAGTCTAGTTTTTCCTCCAAAATTATTGCTGATAATAATTTTTTGGACATGCAACATTAGATTGCCCAATACAATTATATTTCTTTCACCTTTTCAGGTTTAAATCCATTAAATGGAGAAATCCTGCTTTCAGAAGACAGGCATATCACTTGCTGCACAGCTGGAAGTACATTACCAACAGCAGAGGAACATAATTCACTTGCTGATTCAAGAGTTAGAATTGAAGCTGAAAGTTCAGGTACCTTCTCCCAGACTGTGAAAATGAGGATAGAGTATTCCCAACCTGTGAACATACAGGGACCAGATATGGCAAGCGATGTGTCTCTGCTGCATACTGAAGTTGTGTTGCCTGTTGAAGCAGATGGCTCATCTGAACTAGTTCAAGCGCACTTTGTGAGTGAGAACGCGGCAGGGGGACTGTCAGCTCCTGAACTCTGCAACTCTGTCTCAGAGAATGCAATGGGCAGTCAGAGCACTGACTTACCAATGAGTGAGGAAAACGGTCACGATCAAAAATATCAGGAACTGCGAGAAGAAAACTGTAATTTTGCAATTAAAGAACGCTCTGAACAACTTAATAATGCTGATGTGAGTGATGAGGTACAGGAACTTGAAAAAGTTTTTTCAACAAACATCATGCCAATAAACTACCCACAGAGTGCTCAGACTGAGTCGCACCAGAATGCTGTCCAGGAAGCCTCCCTGCCTGCTCATGTGAACCATGAAAACTCTTTAAAAAACATGAATGAATTTTCTTGTGGGACAGAGGAGCAACATGAGCTGGAGAATACAGTTACTGTAGATGAAGCTGTAGCCTTTGAGATTACTGATGAGAGCCATGATTTTTTGTCTCAGGGACATGAACAGATTTTTATTCAGACTTCAGATGGGCTTATCCTGTCTCATCCAGATACTGCTGTTTTGTCTCAGACAGAAGGCATCGTTATTGTAACCGATTCCAATGGTACTACAATGCACATTCGCACACCTGAGGGGATACCTTTGGAAACCGTGGAAGCACTACTGGCAATGGAAGCAGATGGCCAAAGTGAAGATATTTTGCTCTCGCAAAGTGAATTGGAGCCATAAATTAGAAAACTGTATATGCTTTCTTCTGGAAAAGACTGACTCTATAAAATGTATATTTTTCTAATGTGAATACTGAAATAATTGAAATTTAACTTATTTGTAAACTGTTTCTATGCCCTGTACTTTTTATAACTTATGTTTATATAAATCTAGCAGCATTGCAACCAAAAATTCTAGAATTAACATCGTTCTACTTGCTTTATATGTTGAGGGTGATTGGAAAGTGGAAATCTGTCAACCCTAAAACTGTTGCACTATTCCCTTTTGTTACCTAATTCCTTTTCTCTCTAGCCATCTAAAAATGCAGTAAAGTTGTACTGCTGTTCAGCAGTGATGTGCTGTGTACTGGCGAGCTGTATATGGGTAAAATAAAAACCATATTAGAAACGTGCATTTTCTGTGCTGTTGAGATGACAAAACACTTTGTTATTGCACTTTCTTAAAGCTAGCTTGAATACTGATTAGCATCTAAACTTGATGCGCATAAATCTGCCTGGAGAAATGGGCAGTTTTAAATATAATTCACATTTGTGCATTCCAGGAACGATGTGACAGCTTAGCTGATCCTTACTTAAATAAGCAACCGCTGAGTTAGAGACAAAAATAGCCTCAAACAAGATCTGATTTGTACTGAGCTGTTGGAAATGTATTTCAGGATGCTTGTCTCATGTTCAGCCACACCTTCAGGAATTGCTGTTACTTAGACAGAAATGGGAAGGTCCATAAGTAGTGATCTGATTTACCTTAATGAGATACCAAATTCTTTTTTTACTTTAGTCCACGATGGTCTCTTTTTGGTAGACTTGTATTATACTTTTTTCTTTCAGATGATGCATCCTTTATCAGTTCTAAGCTTTGACCCTCCTAGTTACTCCATGCTGCCCTGTGCTATTTACCAATAATGAAAAGGTATCCTTGACTATGATGCCTGTTTCTGCAGAGAGAAAACTTACCAAATTACTTATCTACTGCTATCTTGTATTTTTGTCATACTTTCAGTATGTTGCTTGGATGGTAATATTTTTGTGGAGACCTCTGAGCATCTTCTTGTCTAAGGCACTGTTTTTTTCTTTCAAAAAGCTTGGTAGGAGGAAAAGAACAGCTTTAAGTGACCAGTGTGTTTTGTTGATGAGCTATTGTAGACACTACCAAAAACTGGCCACATACCTTTTAAAATGTGTCACCTCATTGCTAAATGTGAGCCTAATGAGATAACTGGACAAATCAGCTAAAAGGACCTGTAATGCACAGGAGAACTATTCCTAAGTATGAACACTAATTTTTCATGGTCTTGCTACTGTGAAAAAACACTAAAATTGAATCTAAACAAGAGAAAAAGGATAATTTGGAGATGGAACAGTCTGTTCTACTATACCTCTAACATAGCTGGTTTGGGGGTGTTTTGTTGTTTTTCCTGTTTGGGTTGGTTGTTTTTTTTTTTTTTCCCTTGGTTGCATAAGATAAATTTGATTAGCCAAAACACTGCATTTTGTGTGGATGGGAAAGATGTCATATGTTAGTATGCCTCCTGTCTGGTGGTTGGGTTTATGCTGTTTTTTTGTGGTTTTGGTTTTTTGTGGTTTTTTTTTTTTAAGAGGTGGTAGTGGCCAGAGCATCCAGGCCTACTTTATAAGTGAAGATACCATACCAAGCAAGGTTCTACTGGTCTTTCAAAGTTTAACTGCAGTGAGCAATTCTTTATTACTCTCTTTTGTAATGACTGTCTAATAACTACATCTGAGGGCTTCAAATGTAACAATCAGTTGCTTAGAGCCATAATGACAAAACATCTCTGCAATGATTTTGCAGTAATCTTTCTGTGTCTGATAGCAGTCAGTGAGCAAGGGGGTCTGTGAATATGAAGACTCTTTCTGAAGAGCTTATTTCCTCATAAGAAACAAGAACAAATAATAACTTCCACCTGTGCAGAAAATGAAAATTTACTTCAATTCTGCCTTCCCTATTGATTTACACATGCTGGGAAATACAATACACCTACTCTCATCTTAAAAGAACAATTCTGTAAGTGAACCAACCTTTTCTCCTTGGAAAATGTTTCAAGTATGAAGGTGTTTCCATAGTGACAAGGGTCTGGCCCTACTCAGACAAATTAAGGTGGTTGTTAAACTAGGTAGAACGCTTGCACAGAAAAATAATAAAAACAAAAAGCTATTCATAACTGATTGTATTCTCAAGCTACAGCACAATTTCTTTTTAGATGCTAGAAATTTAGGGTAAGAATAGAACACTATTAAGCTGTCAGAAATAATGTTGTTGAATAGAGCAACGTGTTGAGAAAACTTCCAATTCACGTCTGTCCCGTTACTGCAGGAAATTAATGTATTTCCCTTACCAAGCTTATGGCGTCTTCAGCTTGGAACTAGTTACATAAGTGACCCTACTCTTCCTAACAGAAATCTGTTCCAGACTCTCTTGCTGTTTAATTAGATTTTTCTAATGTCAAACCACAGCCATTATGGTCGTTTCATAGCAGTGTGCATTTCATGTCACGGTCTTAGTTCAAGTATTTGTTTCAAGGAGAATCAAGGGTAAACACCTGTCAGGGCACAAGGAGTCAACAGGACTTAGAAGTAAGAGATCTAAATCAACAGTTTAGATAGGAGCAGATCATAGAGGCAATTGTTAGTGGGAGGAATTTAGATTATTAATCATAATGAAGTAAGCAGAAGGCCTAAATTCACTACACATTAGGGACTTAACTAAAAATTTGATGACATAGCTGCATGGTTTCCACATTGTAATAGGCTTTTCTGAATAGTGATAATTTGCAGTAGCAGCTACCAGTTATTTGCCATGCTACCCAGGTCTGACTTAACGGTACACTACAGTGGTCATCAGGTCTTTAGGAGTGAAAGCAAATAAGGGTATTGAATTCCACTTCAGCATTTAGCTTTTGCATTAACTGTTTCTTCTGAACACATTCTCTCTTCCAAGAAAGCAGCATGAAAACGAAAACCAAGAATTTGAGCCATCGGCTCTTGTCATGTAAACTGCTAACCAAAAATACAGTGGGGGCACATCTTTAAACCAAAACCACCTGACATCAGAAACAGTAATTGAAGGAAAAACTCACTAAGCCCTATGACAGGAAGCAAACAATATTGGATAAGGGCGTGACTTGAAGCAGGTCATGTTTTTATTCAACAGATGCTTTCATGGAACATCTCTAAAAGAAAAAGTTACCATGAATTAAAAGAGATGAGACCTTTTCACATAATGACTGTGACTGGTGATCTGTTCTAAACCTTCCCAGTATGCTAGTTAAGGCTAGGATCCATCTTCAAAAGCGATGTACCTAACTACACTATAATCAAAACCAAACCAGAATTTACACTAGTAGCTGTGACAGCATTTCAGAACCACAAACCAAACCGTGGATCCTACCTTTTGAGCTCTCCTTTCTTTTTCCCCATTTACAAAGCAAATACAAAAGCACTAGCCCTGTTAAGTTGTGAAGACCCAGCCCCACGGAAGATCAAGAAGTGCTGAATTTCTAGAGTGAAAGGGCCAATGTAGGTATTTTAGACCATCAAGACTTGGGAAGTAGTTACATTCTTTGCTGTAGGTGTCTGTGTGCATTGAAACCCCACCCCCCCCAACCACCAAGTAGTCCTTAATATCTTTCTGATTATAGGGGATTTGCCCCCCCTGTAGCCTCTATTGCACTTAAAATATATAAAGCAACCAAAACGAGATTGTCCCATGAAGAAAAAGGAGTATCAGCTGAGACGAAATAATACATACAAAGAGAGAAAAACATTTTTAATATGTTTTATAAAAACTCAACTTACTTGGTAAGCCTTGCAATTTGCCATTTCAGTTTCATGTAAGCATCATGAGAAGCAAGCCATGTAACATTTGAAATTCTAGCACTGCCTATGTCCTGTTTCCAGCAGCATAGCTTCAAGTAGTAGGTTGCTGCTGTTGTCAATGTAAGGCTGGTATAACCATGATGATAAATAGACCATCATCAGATCCTGGTCAGCAGAATGAGCAATTTCTTGTACAATTGTTTGCTTGAGTTGTAGTTCCTTCTTGTACATTTCAGAGAGCTTCAGAGAAACCTCATCTGAAATGGATTGAAAAACCAAGCACGCTGACCAGAACATTTCAGCAATTCTCTAAAAGTTAAATTATGCTTGTAATATGTTGATCATTAAAAAAACTCTACCATACATAAGCTATTGCCCATATATAGACTTTTTGCTTTTATAGCATTAATGATGCTTGTACACTAGAACATAAAACGCTAAACAATTTCCTCAGCTTTTGGATATATTTCACACATTCGTGATTTTGACATGAATCTCCTTATCTAGAATAAGCAGTGGTACTGATTCTCAGGACCCACTGTAAAATTAGCCATTATAGCTATTCTTTCAAATAACTGAAATCGGATGTTAAAATTTGGTAATGCTATCTTTAAATACAAGCTTCACATTTTATAGTCACTGTTGATTTTAGCTAATCTAAAGGATGTTCCCACATGCTGTCAGGCACTTTAGCAATGCCTGATCACCCATAAGTGATACCAACAGTGAAAAATAACAGTAAAACAAAACAAAAGACCAAAACTGAAGTGTGTAATGTAAAAACTAATATTGTTACTAGTCATGTTAGTAATACTGGTAGGGAGGTGAAAATATATTTATGTAAAAAAAGACTTATCTTTTATTTCTAACTTAACCTAAACTATCAGTACCTGCATGAGAATTTAGTCTTTCATGGAGTAGAGAGCATCACTAAATGATTCAGTCACAACAAGTGTTTGGACAGCAGTTATCTTTGTCATTCTTGCCCTTTTAAGCTGGCAGAAACTAATACCTAGGATTCCCAATAACTTGTGGTAGTGAAGTAAGAAGCAGGGCTTCACAAAGGTACGACTTTCACGTCACAAAGGCAGTAGTTGGTTTGCATACAACCAGGCTTCTCTTGAATTCACATAGTTTTAAAACTGCAGTAATACCAGTTGGGAGGCAGTACCTTTTGCCATCAAGTGAATGCTAGAAGGATTGATACTAATAGCAGACAGTAACTCAACATTACTTTACTTGTCTTGACTGACACTGAGGTCAGAGGTATTTTTCTCTGGCTGCCTGAGAATTAGCTGAGGTATAGCTTGTTCTTTGCATTCAAGGATTTCATTTCAGTGTCACATAACAAGTCAAGTCAGTTAAGCCCATGGCTTAACACTACCAAGTTGCAAATACATCTCTCCCTACAAAGGATACGGCTGTTGCAGTTTGGATGCTGTAAGCTGCTGACAAGCTTAGTTTTATGCTGTAATTGTTGCATGTCAGACAACGCTTGGCAATTCATACAAGCACTCATCAGCAGTAACCCTAAGCCAAGTGGTGCATTCATGTGTTTATTGATTAGTCAATTATAAAGGAGACAGATACACTCTCTCTCTCTCTAAGGCAAGACAAGCAGATAAAAGGGTTTATTTTTCAGTCCTACATTAGATGACATCAGTGACACAATGCAATTAGCTAAAATAATCAATATTTTACTTACAGAAGTATGGTGTGGGCCATGTATGAAAGAAGGGTGCTGTGCAATTCCCAGCTCCATAATGGAATGTTTCCAAGTCACAAATTGCTTTAGTAGTCAAAGTAAGCTTTTCCATTTTCAATTGTATTTTTGTCTAAAAATGATGAACATGTAATGTTAGCGAACATCTCAAGAACATTAAGCTGCTATAATCTTAAACATTTTTTAAAACACACTATTTCTGAAGACTATTTAGTCTTAACATTTCTAATTCACTTTTTTTTAACTCCAGACAGAAATCAAAGCTGGAATTTATATAAAGATTTAGTATGAGATACACTAAAATTTTGACTACTGCAGATATGAATTACTGACTCTGATACTGCATAATTCTTTTGTTTCCCCCATGTAGAAATATATTAAAGCCCTCTCATTTTTTCACCTCTTTCTGGGTTTTTCCTATAGCAATTTAGTATTGGGGAAAAATATCAGACTGTCTATGAACATGTGTGGCACAAGCCCTATTAACACATGCTTTCTTACATTACCATGTCAAGATGACTTGAATTTGATTTCAAAAGACCAGCAGGTGAAAAAATTGACTACTACTACTGACAATATATCTAGGCTGATTTAACAGCTTGCTTTGAAAAACAGGTCATTCCATCCACTTCCTTCACGTTCACCTGACCTTGTGCATTACTGACCTGGACCATTATTTATAACAAAATAGAGTTTGCAGGCAGTATCTTTAAGTCAAGAAGCTAAAATACAGATATTTCTATCAACTTGTAAGCTGGTACAAACCCATAAGGAATGAAAAATAAAATCTCTGTAGTAGCTATGTTTAATATCCAATCTAACACTGGCTGCTTAGACTCCTATTACTCAGGAGTAACAAAAAATTTAATTAACACACTTGGTAGTCTGAATACAAAACTACAGGGGGAAAAAAAAGGAAAAAACCTTAATTTACTGTTACTTTTTTCCCACGGAACAAAATTTGAGGAAAAACTAGCTGCTTTCCTGCTATTCTAAATACTGAACTGGTATCCTGTCTATACAAAAAAAAAAAAAAAAGATCTGTCATCTTTTTAATGGGCCTCCACTTTGACAGGAGGCTGTAAAAGTTATTTTTAATAAGAAATCTAAATTACAGTATCAGGCAAAAAACCTATTCTTTTTGCTTCCTGTCAAACTGACAGATGACATTAATTCATAGCAACGTATCCAGAAAAAAAAGGTGGGTTACATAATTATCTTATTCTGCTCTCCAGAGAAGTTCTGCACAGAAAATGCAGGTAGGCAGACTAAAAATATAACTGTGCTATGTGTGATCCAAGTGAGCTGCAGGCAGGTAAAGCACTATTTTATGCTTTGTTGTTTGTTTTATTCTAAACAGCAGGAATATTCAGGGTGAGAAAACAGGTGCAGCTTTAGAATGCACTTTTTGTAATACTTGTTTTCAGAAGAACACTTTATAAAGTGAGGAGTAGAATTATAAGAAAGCAGATGTAAAACCAGCCCTCAATTTTACCGATCAAGCAAATAAATGATGCACACATTCATAATCATTTAGGTTTGAAGCCAAAGAACTATGAATAAAACCCCCAATTTTCCGTTTACACCAAATACTTGAGGACCTTTCCTTATGTCATACTTGAACACACTTGGAATTGACTGATATTGACTAAGATTGAAAAACGAACTTACCATATGCTTTAATGTCTCAAGTAATTCTAAACAGCAATTGTCCAGTTCTTCATTGTATTTTGGAGTTGGCTTTTTAGATTCTGTGGTACTGTTATCACATGCTATCTCCAGTTTGTTGTCTTGGAATCTAAAACAGAAACATAAGGCAGAGTAAAAATTGCATACAGCTTTACTCGAGTTGTGCAGATTTAAAATCCATGTGGTCTGATCCTACAAAATCTTTCTCTCACAGGCTCTTTATAAGAATTCCCACATAAAAGTAGTAAGAGACATAGCTAGTGATGTAAGCAATTGGGGCTGGTACCATAATCTTCAGAGAAACATAAAATTACTCTACCTTAGACCATGTGCTTGAAAAAAACAGTTGCAGGTGTTAAGAGAACACCTATTCCCACTTCACCCCGCCCCTGTGTTGGAGGTTATTCTCTCATAATGGACAAGTTACGCCCAAGCTTCAGCTGCTCCAGCACATGATCTAGTGCCTCTCTCACCACAAACTCACCTTCCTGCACAACTTAAGCCAAGCCATTTAACTGTGAGCCCAGGGCAGTTAAGGTGCACACACCTACCCTGTCTGGCTGACTTTCCCATGGCAGCTGTAAATTCAGTCAGGGGAGAGAGAGCTGCTAGAGAGCAGAAGCAACAGCTGATGTAATATTCCTGAGCTTGTACCTGTCAGAACCCTGACAGACAAGCCCTGTTCAGCTGTCGGGACTCTGGAGAAGTTTATTCTGTTAGTTATGGGCTTTTCCTTACAGCATGAAGATAATACTACCAAAGTGGGTTTTGTTGTTGTGGGTTTTTTTTAAAATCATCACTGTTAAAACTTTTTTTATCTATGAAAATCACTGATTCTTTCTTAAAATCTGCTGAAATTTTATTTTAGTGAAATTTGGTAATATTGGCCTTGGTGTAAATATGCAAGAGAGTAAGGGAACTCACATGAGCTGAGATCTCTACAGAATTAGATTCTAACTTTGTGTATTATAAAAGTATTTTAAATACCTGCTATGCTTAACTATAATAAACACTTTTCTTGTAAATACCATTACTTTGTGAGATTATTTTAATCTGAGACATTTATTGAACGTAAATCGTTTATGTAACCAAAAAGTGCAACTGCTGAGTTTGATCCAAGAGCCAGCTTAACCACTCTGATGTGTTCTCTCCCCCATCTCCAAAACGAACTTTCTAGTGAAGATTAATTTCTCATTAAAGGCAATCTTTACACTGTCTCTACTTGCATGTTACTAGCAGACTTACTGCTCACTGATCTTCATGTTGACTATTTTGTTTGCTGTAGCATATCCATTATCATTCAATCTCTCCCATTTCATCATTAAATTATGCCAGTCTGCTGCATTATCTTTAATTTTTCTTGCACTGACAGATAAAACAGGTCTTCTCGGAGTACCATCAGCAGGACTTTTTGCTGTATTAAAAAAATAAAAGAAATTCAAGCCATCTAAAGCATACAGAAACAAATCAGCATGCTGTCCAGCAGCGTCAAGGATCTCCTTGCTTTACTGCTGAATACTGGAAAGTAAAATGGAATTTATATTAATCATCTTCAGTCATGAAACCTGATTTCCCATCTATCAGCTTTATTACTATTACTATTCACAAGGAAATGTTATTCGAAAAGTGCAAGCATGTTCTGAGATGTGATGCTGTAACCGGGACAAGCAGCGGCCCCTGTGAACACACCGCAGCCAAACGCTAACGCCGCGTGTGACGGCGAGAAATCACGGCAACGATTACCGCACGCGTGCGGTGCTCACGCCACGGGCTATGAACTACTTCACGTCTACACGTGAGCTTGAAGCGTCTTGGAGAAAGCGGGGCCCTGCTGAAGATGGGGGGGCTGCTGCCCCGCGGAGCGCAAAGCCCGCGGTTCCCGATGTGTCCGCAAAGGACCGCACAGCAGCGGCGCCCGCGGAACTCCCGCACCGCGCCGGGCTCGCCCGCTCAGCCCGGCCGCAACAGGCAGC